ACACCCTGAGCCCCAAGCCACTAACGAAGCCCCTAAACCCTAAACCCTAAACCCCTTAACCAACTCTTCTGGCTAAGGATCCAGGCGTCGCTCTCGCTCGGATTGTCTGCTGACTGCTTGCATAAACCCCAAAACCCCTAAACCCTAAACCCTTAAACCGAAGCTCCTCAGGTCGTGCTGGCATCTCAGAGGCCGAGCTCGACGACCTCGTCGATCGTGGCCGGAAGCCACTTGCAAAGCACAGCACCTGATAGCTATCTATTATATTAGTCCCTACAATAGAGAGAGAGAGAGAGAGATATATATACATATATATATATATACATACATACATACTATAGTAGTCCCGTTTCTGCGTCTGTACTATAGTAACTATAGTCTCAATAATGGCTCTATAATTTATCTATACTAAAGCTTACCCCACTCTAATTATTGAGGCCCCGTATGAAATCCAGTCTCTGCAACAAGCAATGTCAAACTTCCAAGGAACAAGATGCCACGCACTCTCTTCGAATGCGGTTTAACGGACGCCATCCTCTACTGGACAGATGTGCCTCTGGCTCAGATGGGCACAAGGGTCTGATCTTGCAGCAAGCATTCAAGCCGAATCTCATTTATAGCTGGACGCAAAGCCTTCATTCGATCTGGGAGGGGCTGCGGAAGGCGTTGCTGCGCGATGCTCCGCGGAAGAGCACGGAAGCAACAAATCCGTAAGCCGCTGCGCTATACAAAGGAGCTGGCGTAATACGTCAAAGGCTGCAGAAGCAGTGACGGAAGGATGCGGAAGGGTTGCGCGATGTTGCACGGAAGGTGTTGTGTCCTTGAAATTGAAAGTGCATATAAAACACGGCACAGATGTTCAGAACTTGTGCGACTGGATGCATGGTGGGCTTTAGCTTACTTCATGTTTCTCCTTCCAGATGATGCCCAACCTCCACCGCTGAGGCCGTGCTCGGTGCTTCTTGCCAAGCTCGTCGGCAGGCCACTTGCGACATGCAGAAAGTGTCTCATTTGTCGGTAAGAGACAGACCGTATACGATCGTATATGATGAATTCCGATTGTGCGTTGGGAAGCTGCAACATGCCTTCCCAAGCCAACCCTAGGTCCAAGACAAGACCGACTGATTTGTTTCCTGCCGACCTGAACGCAGGTTTGTGTTCTGTGCTGCGCTAGCGCCGGGCTCTTATGATGAGTTTTGTTAGAAGATTCTCGATTGTATCGGCAGATCTTTCACAGATCTTTCGCACGTCCTAAGATGCAACCATTGCGCTTCTGTCGTTTAGCCTGAATTTTCCATCAGCCTTGCATTTAACATCACTGTTTCTTTGGTCGCGGCCTGTCGCTTTGACATGTGTTGGCAGCCTGTTTGGTGGATGCAGAAAGATGCAGTGCAATTAAAATGTTTGAGATGCAAGAACCTCTGAAGCCCTGCTGGTATACTTGGCCCTCGCCATAAGCCTGAATACTATACCGTCCCTTCTTAGGGTGGCGCTGCCTTCGGAGATCATGGACTTCATCTGGGTCGCTCGGAGGACATTTTGTGCGGTCATCTGGCTATCCTGCTGTCTCTACTCAGCTACCTGCGTGCACGGCGCGAGCCTTTTGATTTCCACGCTGCCAACTTAGGTCTACTCGGTTCTTCTCTGTTTCCAGTGGTTGCGACGGCCTTACAGAGCTTTCTTCAGGGAAGACAGCCCTGAGCAGAGGCTTCTGAGGTAAAGCCACAGCGTCGTCGAAGGTGCTGCCAGAGTTGACTTCCGTTCAGATCTTTTCAGATCCAGTGCTCGGATGAAAGTTAATGTTCATTAGCGACTAGCACAAGTCAGCAAAGCCAGCTCCCATGGCCCAGCGGGTGACATGCCACACAGTGTTGTGAAACGACAGCGGGCGAGCGCAAGAACGGGGACAACGAGCGAGGGCATGCGTGACATCTCCCGTTGCCTGGCACGAGCAAGTGCCATGAGGCTGCTTCAATGCTGTAGATCTCTAGCTGTTGCCTGCGGCGAGCAAGCTGCTAGCATATTCCAGCCCAGGGCCCGCTGCTGAAGCTAAGTCGAGAAAACCGCGTTTCGTGTCATGACCTCGTGCAGCTTTTGGGAGCAAGGCTGGTCTTCGGCTTCTTCTACTTCAATCTGAACAACATCCTTCTCATGCCTTTGAACTCAGAAGTCCTGTGCTTCAGTGTTCCTCTAAACACGATCCCTAAATCTTAAACTGTAGGCCAGGTTGTTTATAACGCCGACTTCGAGTGAGTTTTCACGAACCTGGCAGCTCCGAAGCAGACGATTCGAGGTCGTCATGGCTGGTTTGGCTCGCAGTCCAGCACTTGGCTTTCAAGGGTTTAGCGCTTAGGGCTACTGTAGGTTCTGAAGAGTCTGCCAAACAGTTCCAGCACTTCACATCTTGCAGCTTCGTCGGTTTTTTTTGCGTCCAAAGCATGACACAGCCATCCATTTGAGCAAGGTTTTTCTCGTGGGCCGCCTTTATGTCATCGGCGTGATTGGCGAGCAAGCCACGACACCCTCGCTTTGGGTGACGTGCTCAGTTCTTGGAAGCCTCAGATCAGTTCACAGGCCATGCGCTCTCAATCTCAACCCGGGTAGCGGCTGTTGGAGTGGATAGCTTTCGTCAATAATTCTTGCAAGTGGAATGGCTAGGCTAGATGTTGTACCGATGCAGTCACAGTCACAGTCCCTACTCTTCGACAAAGACGTCATGTGCTGCTTCCCCTGTGCTTGCACGAGGTGCGTCTTCCGGAGTTCTTCATTTCGTTTCTCGTTTTCGTGGAGTACTTAGGCCCGCATGGCTGGGGGAAACATGGACCTGCTTGGGCGAAGTTTCGTATTCACAGAAGGGATGTCTCCGCAGAGCGTGTTTATTGCAGCAGCTGCTGCTGCTGCTGCTGCTGCTGCTGCTGCTGCTGCTGCTGCTGTCGCAGGGCGTCAGACATGTTTCTCACGTCGGCTTCAGACGTGTTGCCTTGTTTCGACGCTGAAGTGCCGGCCGAGTCTCCGCTGCTTTGAGCGGAACAGGTTTCCTGCACCACCTGGTCCTCACGGTCTTTCGCCTAGCGGTGGCAGCAGTGTCGGAGGCACCCGGGCGGATCGGGTGGGAGGGAAAGAGTCGGCGGTCACGGATGCGGTCTAGGAGACGGCCGGCCAGTCTGTGGCCATGACCCGATCGTCGTGGTAGTAAAAGTTGCAGCAGGGCCATGAGCTCGTGAGGCATCATTATTGAAAACCACGCCCTTGAGATTCTTCTTGTAGTGTAGGAGTCTCGGCAAGCGAAGCTGTCATGGAAAGCTGATGTACCTTGAGGGCACTGCTTGCTTCGGGAAGATTGTGCAGTGTGAGATCTCTCAGGACGGCTGCTTATGCCTCCACATGAAGCGGCGCATCCCACGTGAAGCCAGCAACCGAAGGTGGGGTCCAGCTGAGTCGTGGCGTTGAAGGGTTGCGGTAGGATGTGTGGCTGGAATGTTCTACTTGCATTTCATGCTGGGTGCTTGCGCGTTAGCCTGCTATTCCGGTGCTTCTGGCGTCATTCGGCCTGAATCAAGCCTGCACTTGTCATGCTCGCTGTGCCAAGCCAAGCCGAATATCCCAGCCATCCTGCCGAAACCATTTCGCGACAAGAGCCCCTCCGTGATGGCTCGTGAGGCTGCATCGGTGCATTCGGCTCGCCCATGCTGATTGGCCGCAGCTTGGGGTGGGCTGTAAGGGCACGGGATCTTGGGCTCGAAGCTTGCAAAGGCCGCTGCAGGCTTTCTTGCAGGAATCTCGAAGAGCGCTCCGGGTTGCGCAGATAACGAAGCAAACGGGCAATAGTTGTACTTTCAGATTCACGGCCTACCGAGAAGAGTGGCGATGATGGAGAAGGTCTCTGATGAACAAACGTGTGCTTGCTGGGAGAAGATTCATAGCTGTGAGTCCCACGGTCTTTGTGCCCAGGTGTTCTTCTTCTCGCATCAACTGCATACCTTACAGGTCGGATGTAGGGAATGGCTGTGGTTTCAAGGCTGTGCTTCGAATGAGAGGTGGTATACCTCAAGATGTTTGAAATCCACCTGGCCCGACAGAGCTACACTTGTTTCAGGCCTACATCGTGCTTGTCGCAAATCTGATGACTTCCCTGTTCCTCGCGAGCACGGACAAGGTGCAAGCACAACGCCAACCCGCGGCCATTTTTGGTTGTCGAGTGTTGGAGAGGTATTGTGATTTGTGGCTGTGACCATGGTGCTGATTCATTATGACCTGCGGCACAGTTTGAAGTCTGCACATCCGCTCGTCGTTGCCATGGGGAGGTCTTTTGCAACCTGAGAATACACACGTGGTCTGGGCCACGGTTCTGTGCAGACCAGTCGAAACCGACTCATCCAGCCAGCAGTAAGAGTCATTCTGACGAAGATATAGTGCCTATGTGCCTGCCCGGACCTGCTGCGAGTGTCAGAGTGTCTATTGTGGAATTGTCTGCAGCTGTGGTAGCACTGCTCCGAGGTGGCTTCTCAACTCGGTTGCTGGAGACCCGAAGTACTTGGAGAGCGAGCTGCGATCTAAGATCTCCAGTCTGCCGCCTTTTCGCTGGCCGGGTCTTCCCAGCCTATATTGGGATCGTAGAGCATCCATGGACCTGAGCCTCAAGCGTGAAGCCGCATCGGAAGAAGCTCAGCTCAGCTCTGCTTGTCCACGAGTCCATCCCAGGACGACGTGGCTGGAGGATGCGAACAGGCCATCGGGCCAGACGCATGCATCGTGCAGCCGACTGAAACCCCAGCGAGTTTGATCCTCTTCGGCAGTAAATCGCAACAAAGTCCTTGGAAGGCTCGGCTTATCGGACACGTCCTCTACGGTTACAGCCGGCGACACGTCCGAGGAAGCCAACGATCCTCGGACCATAGCAGTTTCACTCAGGCTGCGGTCAGCAAGTGCAAAGTCACTCAAGCATTGACTCAAGCATTTAATTCACAAACCTTCTCCTCTGCATGGACAATCTAAGGACAGCGGCTCGTCCGAGGCATCTCAGCGGAATGTAGCAGAGCTTGTGGGATGGTGAGGACACGAAGCCTTCTGGACTCTGGACTACTGTGAGCATCGTGTCAGGTTGTGGAGTGATTGGTGTAGTCATGTCAGCCTCAGCTAATCCAATGTGACCAGTCGCTGAGAGCACAGCCTTACACAATCCCGTGGGCCTCAGAAGAAGCAAGGGTGATTTCGGGCTTTCCACCCTTGCCGTGCTTGTGTGTGCGTGAGCGGATCGGTCAGATACATTCAGATACCGTCGATGCAGAGCCAAGCTTTCTGTCCGGCTCAGCCACGTAGCAAGGGATCATGTGAAGAGCTGAAGAAGTCGAGGAGTTTGTAAGTTTGTTTATCCTCAACAGCTTCGGTGGTTCTGGGTTATTTCTTCAGGGGATGGGTTTGCCTTTCGAGCCGATGCAACTGTGATTGTCCTAGGGTCGCAGCGATTCCGATCAGCTGCGGTGCCGTTGTATAGAGTGTGACCGACACTGTGGGGGCGCAGTCGGGAGTTTTGATTTCCGTGAAGGGAACTCCACCCACTAACCGTTAACCTTGAGGATTGCTCTATTCAGATCCCTGCAGTCGGGGCTAACGGCTAACGTTTTCGAGGCCATAGGTGGGATGGTTGAGAGCTGAAAAGTAGGTTAGGTTATTCTCCTCACAACCTGACGTCCTGTTGGATGGCTCGCATCACGAAGGGTTTGTCAAGGTGGGGTCCCACCGACGCCTGCTAACGGCGCCAGCGACGGTGCCGTCAGGCCAGTGACTTGAAGGGTCTGTGCCGAGCTTGACAAGTGCATGGGACGGTGGTCAAACACAGTTTCTAGGCACTCTGGAGCCCTTGCGATCCCACAAAAGAGCTCAGAAAAGATATCTAGTCTGTCGGCATCACCATGTATCGACTTGACGCCAGGTCCGGAACGACCCCGTCCCGCGACCATCACGAGCCTCTCAGGCCGGCTCTGAGTGAGACAGAGAGAGGAGTTTTGCTGTAGCCGGTCTCGGATCTATGCTGCTCGACAAATGCGAAGGATTATTGAGTTCTTGCTAGGGGGCAGGAGATGTCGAGCCAGAAGGCAGCAGCAACCGTGGTGTAGCTTGTTTTTTACCGACACTTGCGCACTGCGGCGGTGGTGGCCAGCTCTGTTTAGCACGGAAGGTTTGCGGCTGTCAAAAGTTGGATCAGATTCCAATGCTTCGATTTCAGAGCGCTCATGCCCGGAAACCTCTGCCAGGAACTTGGCCAGACCCTCCCTTCGGGTCTACTTGGCGGGACCTAGGCACATTTCCTGCGCATTCGAGCAGAGATCATGGGAAACAGCCTGCTTGAGCGCACCAAGCGAATGCTTCGGAAGGTGCTGAAAGGCCTTCATTGGCGTGAATGGTGTGGTTGTCTCATGCCGGGCACTCGTGCAACTGTGGTGCCTGAGGGATTCCTACAGCGTCCGTGTCAGTGCGATTGTGATTTTGGCAGCCGTTAGATTCAGCCTGCACCTGCCACTTTGTCCCTAAGGCGTTTAGCATTGGCTGAATTGCTTTTGCAAGTCAGTACAGATTTTGTTAATTTTTGGGTAAGCCTGATAGCCGGTCAGCTCGGCCACCTTGGCTTATACCATGTACCTACGCGTCCTTGTGCACTTTAACCTTAGACCAGACAGTCATGGATAGCTCGCAGTCCCTGGCAGCCTAATCTACAGCCTCTGCCAGCTGACCGTCTGCAGAAACAGGATGGCATGTGACTCTCTGCAAGTGTACAGGCTGCATAGGAGTTTCCGCAGGGCCTCCAATGCCCAGGGGACTGGACCCTGCCGAAAAATGGTCAAAAGCGATCCCATTCAAGTGTGTGCGTGGTGCCAAAGCTACAGAGCTACGCGAAGAAGGATTGTCTTCGTACGGGCTCGGAGTCCAACTTGCAAGCGCGGTGGCGTCATTTGCAGAGAAAGTTGCTGAGCCTCCGGAATCCCAAAGACTGAGAGGCTGCCTCCTTAGCCGGCTCGATGTGACTGGGCTTTCCGAGCCCTCTGACTCCAGGTTCCTTAAGTGGGCGGCCTCTCACCTATAGGCTCTTAGGCATTGAGGTTCTTGTCAGCGCCAAGCGCTACACTTTTTGAGGGGTGCCTGATCCCTCTCGGCCGGGCGGGCTGTGACTTAAGATCCTGGGAAGCTTTCAGTGCACAGCTCGTCCGGGACCACCGGGGCATTTTCAGGCAACCCTAGGTGTTGATGACAACCTCTTGAGCACCTCAGCCCCCAACCGTGGCATGAGGAGGCGTGTGTTGTTTGCACACTAATTCGCGCAACCCATGCACATTTATTCTTTGCACAGCACCGGCAAGCTCGGAGCGTCGGAGAGCGACTTTTCCAAACACTGGGCGATTCGTATGCGCAGGAGATGCGCCGAAGAGGTCGTGCCAGGGCATGCAAAAACCTTGATAGAAGATGCCCGAAGGTGACCGCGAATTGCCCAGCTTTACATTCAGACTGCATGTTTCACTTGGGTACGGCAAGATCCTTGCTCGCTCGTAGGCTGGCATGGAAATCTCGCTGCTGATGCCTTACTTCGGTGCGCCGGCATGACTTGATCTATCAGCATCGCAGACCAAAGTCCTGCCTAAGAGCAACACAAGCCCAGGACATGCATCTCTCTCCCAAAAGGGATCTGCCGGACATTTCGATATGGACAACAGCCAAGTTCGCCTTGCGCAGAAGGCCTTCGGCGGCTTTTCCCAAGGATCGTTGCGCACCACTGATATGCCTTCGAGGGGGCGCGAAGCATCACCGGGAACACTAGAGGCCACAAACGGCCAGGAGCCACAGGCGCCAATCATTCTGGGTCTGGCATCTGTCTCGGAATGCAGGAGCTAGTAGGTTTCGAGCTTTTGAAGTGTGTCCTTGACTTTGAGGACGTAAGTATGTGTAAAGCTTCGTTGAAGCATGGCCTGATTCAGCCTAGCGCAACCTCGATTTTCATTGATTCGCCTCATGTCCACAACAGGACACGTGGTGCTCCCACACTCGCATTAGTTTTCCAGACCTTGAAAGTAAGGGCGGAAGATAAAGCGAGAGGCAACAGATATTAATTAAATATATTTAAGACATCTATACAATTTCATCGAACATCTCACATATAGAAGGTTATATTTAAGGAGATACCATATTCTTCCTATATTTGGCAATTAGAATACGAAAAATAATATATATATATATATATATAGAGAGAGAGAGAGAGAGAGAGTGCGTCGGCGTGAGGGCCCGCTTTTCTCGAGTAAACATACGTTTTTATGCTTATTTTACCGTGATTTTACTGGTATCATCTTGTAAATGCATTTAGTTTATACCATTATATAGTATATATATACACATGTATATAAATAACAAAAAAAAAATATATATATATATATAGGATTATGCAGTCTCTATAATGAGAGATGCATACACTAAAATTGACTGCCCTCTATATTTATAGCATGTTCGTATATTTTGGGAACGAAAATCGCTTTTGAAATAGAAAGATGGTATAAGAGTTGTAAATGTACTGCACTCAGTTCTAGATTAATTCTTATATTAATGGCTTCCGTCAGTCCATATACTAGATTTTTTTCCTTGGAAATATATTTGTAGTAATCGTTCGAATTCGAAAGTATCTCGAAAGTATCAACTATATTGATAATAGCGAAAGATGATAAGGTAATTAATATACTCGTGCCACAAAGATTAGGAATATTTCCGCACTGAATCTAGAAGATGCGGTGTTAGCATACCGCCATAAATGATATCTTAAAGTCATGTCTTTGTATATGGTGTGCCGTATTTTATTTAATTATATAAGTGAAAATAATATTATTTATAAAACTGGCCCGTCGATATATATGTAACTCTTATACAAATTAATGCCACAGTCTGGGCCAACTATCTTTGTAGCTTTTGTTAACATTATTGTTGTGGACCAGCATGGCATTTTAATTTCCAAACTGAATATGGGGTTGCATACTTATCAACTAAAGTACATTACCTAGACGTATGTCTGCATTCTGCATGGCTTCTATATAGTAGGCTGTGGCTTTTAATATGCATCCTATCAATATAACGCGATAATGGTACCTTCCGACTATTGGTCTTATTAATTATGAGTGTCTCTATATCGTGCCGTTTTGAACACAAACCCTGTGCCAAACCCATATGAAATTAATGTGCCAAGAAACTACACGTAGTAGTCCTAGATACCAGGTATTTTTGCGGGGCTCGTCAGAAAAAGT